TTCTTCTAAGTGATTCTTGCCCACAGTAGTAGATATAAATGTCATCTGAGTTAAATTCACCCACTCCAGTCCATTTTAGTTTGCTGATTCCTAAAATGTCTATGTTTACTCTTGCCATCTCCTGTTTGACCATTTCCAATTTGCCTTGATTCATGGACCTAACATTCCAGGTTCGTATGCAATATTGCTCTTTACAGCATCAGACTTTACTTCCATCACCAGTCACATCCCCAGCTGGGTGTTGTTTTTGCTTTGGCTCCGTCTCTTCATTCTTTCTGGAGTTATTTCTCCACTGATCTCCAGTAACACAGTGGGCACCTACTGACCTGGGGAGTTCATCTTTCAGTGTCCTATCTTTTTGCCTTTTCATACTGTTCATGGGGTTCAGTCGGACATGACTGAGTGACTGAACTGAACTGAACTACAGTTTACTCAGTTCATTCACTCAGTCATGTCTGACTCTTTGTGACCCCACAGGCTGCAGCACGCCAGGCTTCCCTGTCCATCACCAACTCCCAGAGCTTGCTAAAACTCATGTCCATAGAGTTGATGATGCCATCCAGCCATCTCATCCTCTGTCATTCCCTTCTCCTCCTGCCTTCAATCTTTGCCAGCATCAGGGTCTTTTCCAGTAAGTCAGTTCTTCACATCAGGCAGCCAAAGTATTGGAGCTTCAGCTTCAGCATCAGTCCTTCCAATGAATATTCCAGACTTATTTCCTTTAGGATTGACTGGTCTGATCTATTTTCAGTCCAAGGACTCTCAAGAGTCTTCTCCAACACTACAGTTCAAAAGCATCAATTCTTCGGTGCTCAGCTTTCTTTATGGTCCAACTCTCACATCCGTACATTACTACTGGAAAAACCATAGCTTTGACTAGATGGCCCTTGGCCAGCAAAGTAATGTCTCTGCTTTTTAGTATGCTGTCTCGGCTAGTCATAGCTTTTCTTCCAAGAAGCAAGCATCTTTTAATTTCATGGCTGCAGTCATCATCTGCAGTGATTTTGGAGCCCCAAAAAATAAAGTCTGTCGCTGTTTCCACTATTTTTCCATTTATTGGCCATGAACTGATGGGACTGGATGTCATGATCTTAGTTTTTTGAATGTTGAATTATAAGTCAACTTTTTCACTCTCCACTTTCATCAAGAAGCTCTTTAGTTCCTCTTTGCTTTCTGCCATAAGGGTGGTGTCATCTGCTTATCTGAGGTTACTGATATTTCTCCCAGCAATCTTGGTTCCAGCTTATGCTTCATCCAGCTGGTACTTTGCATGATGTACTCTGAATATAAGTTAAATAAGCGGGGTGACAATATACAGCCTTAATGTACTCCTTCCCTAATTTGGAACCAGTCTGTTGTTCTATGTCCAGTTCTAACCATTGCTTCTTGACCTGCATACAGACTTCTCAGGAGGCAGATAAAGTGTTCTGATATTCCCATCTTTTTAAGAATTTTCCACAGTTTGTTGTGATCCACACAGTCAAAGGCTTTGGCATAGTCAATAAAGCAAATGTAGATGTTTTTCTGGAACTCTCTTGCTTTTTCGATGATCCAACAGATGTTGGCAATTTGATTTCTGGTTTTCCTGCCTTTTCTAAATCCAGCTTGAACATCTGGAAGTTCACAGTTCACATACTGTTGATGCCTAGCTTGGAGAATTTTGAGAATTACGTTGATAGTGTGTGAGATGAGTGCAACCTTGCAGTAGTTTGAACATTCTTTAGCATTGCCTTTCTTTGGATTAGGGGAAGTTTTTTGTTTTTGTTGATCTTTTTGTGGATATTTTAGGATAAGAACTTTAAAGCTTCTTGATTTTACAGAAGAATCATTTACTTCATGAGATTTACTTTAGAAAATAATTTGCCTTTGTAGACATGAGACCCAAAATGTGTTGAAAGGGTGAAGAAAATCTGAAAACCAACAATGCAAACTCTAAGATAAAAACTGATATGTCATGATGGAAGGTGATCTCCTTTTGAGTAATATTAGGATTGAAGGTGCTGATTGCTGTTTATAAAAGGTAAAATTATGCTTCAAAGCAACACTATTCAATACAACTTCCTATGATAGGTAGAAATGTTTTATATCTGTCTTTTCCAAAATAGTAGGCCCTGGTCATATGTGAATATTTAAATTTAAAATAATTAAAATTAAATGAAACTTGAATTTCAGTTCCTCAGTCACACTAGCCACATTTCAAGTGCTTATTAGCCATTTATGTCTAGTACTAGATATCACAAGCATAGCATATTTCCAGCAACACAGAAAGTTTTACTGGGCAGAGTTGCTCTAGATTTCTCAGTGAAGCAACCACTAGGTATTTACAGTTATGGACTGGAGCGAAATAAGAGAGGAAAAAAAGATATTTCCACTTTTTTTTCCACTTTCATTTTTTCCCAGTTTTAAATGATTCATAAAAAAAGCAAATTCAACATATGAGATGATCCAATTAATGTCTATTTCCATAATCATCACAGAAATGTTAGAAGAAAAAAGGAATTCACAGTTTAATGGTCCCTCTGTGCTCTCCAAGAAAGATAGAAATGGAAAGAGGGGGTAAAAAGAGTTGTAAATTCTAGAGAAACATGAGGTTGAAAATCTAGTGTTAGCTTCAAGGAAAAGAGAAAAGTCAAAATCCACAATGTTAGAATACATTTTTGTGAAATCCTGCAGACTCTCACTGCAGTAACTAAGAACTGTACAAATTCTGCATTTACGAGAGTGATTTTGGTTACCTAATCTCTCTGAGTTGAGGTTCTGTCTTCTGTAAAATGAGAAAAGGCGTGTAAAGTACTTAGATGTGCATCTGACAGTAAGTATCCAATACACAATAATAATAATGTGTAGAGGGTGAGATAATACTGTACACAAGTATGATTTATGCTTAAAACCCTTGAAACGGCTTCTCATTGTTGTTATTCAGTCACTCAGTCATGTCCAACTTTTTATGACCCCATGGACTCAGCACACCAGGCTTCCCTGTCCTTCACCCTCTCCCAGGCTTTGCTCAACCCGATGTCCTCAGTGTTGGCCACAGGGCAGAAGTCTGGTCTGTATTCAATGCTCAGGTTTTCTCTCTCAGTGATCCCCCTTAAGCATCAGCTTCATTAACTCATTCAGTGTGTATGTAGTTTTCCAAACACCACGTCATTTTGTTTTTCTACAACTTGCTTGTGCCTTTCTGGGCTTCACATATGGTGCTAGTGGTAAAGAACCTGCAGGCCAATGCCGGAGATATAAGATGGATGAGTTCTATCCCTGGGTCAGGAAAATCCCGTGGAGAAGGAAATGGCAACCCACTCCAATATTCTTGCCTAAAGAATCCCAAGGACAGAGGAACCTCGCTGGCTACAGTCCATAGGGTTGCAAAGAGTCAGACACCACTGAAGCGAGTGAGCATGCATGCATGCATGCCTTTTCTTCTGTTGGAAGCCCTCTCCAGTTTTCTTGGCAGGTCAACATGTACTAATCTTTTAGTACTCAAAGGGGTTGGACTAGGGCCTTCTCCTATGGCTTTTCATTTCCTCTGTACCTACTATTTTGATTGAAATTATCTATTTAGGGGTCTGTCTCCACTGATAAGGAGAAAACACGATGTGTTTGATACCATGTTATGCTTTGAGGGCATAAGGAGAAATGACAAAATAATAGTCCCTGCCCCCAATTAAGCAGAATTTGAAAACAGGGAGGAATTATATCTCTAGTGTCTCTTTCGCTTCAAAACAGCACATTCTTAACACGTCATAGGTGCTTTAAAATGTCAAACCAGCCAGAATCTAACACATAGAGAAAGAACAGCCTAGCTCAGTACCAAACTTCTTACCATGTGTTTTGGTGCGCATTTTAAAGGAGGAATTGGAGCTAACGAGCCAAGGGAAGACGTTAGCTAGTGTCCCTCAGGCACGCTCCACCCTTTCAGTTTTCTCTAGTACTTTGTGGGGCCTCCAGTCTTCAGATACTTAGCATCGTTTTAGCTACCCAAGGGCTCCTGGCTCCCTCTCCATCACAATATCTTCTCCTTTCTGTTGAAATGATTTTATTAATGAGTTAATTCCTTTCTGATTAAACAAAAATTAATTTAACATTTTATAGCCTAAAATGTAGCCCATGTTCCTTTCTCCATAGCACCATCCTTCCTGCTACAGAAGTTCAAATGTAAAAATTTCCTCTCATATACAAATAAAGAGCTCTTGCTGTCTGGAGTATATTAATGATGTTACCTCAACTAGAGAATTACCCCCTTGCTCAGTGCAGAAGCAAGATCTAGACGATAATAAATTTCTAGCAGAAATATCTGAGAGCCCTGATGACTTAATATGGTTACTGTAAAGTGAAACTGGTTAAAGACAAAAGCTTCTTGAAGAAAATTCAAGAGGAAATTTTAATGCTGGCAATAAAAATGGTCAGCTGAATAGAAAGACAAGGCTGTATGGAGATAGTTAGGTTGCTTCCTAATGGCTACAGCCACCTGATACCAACTTCTGGGTTGTTTGTTTATCTGTTTTCCAGTACACAGCCACAGATAATCAGGAACAGCAAGTGTGTGCCATGTTGGATAAAGATGCACAGCTCCTCCGCATCACACTGTGAATGTCATGAAGGCAGGGCCTCGGGCTCAGCCCTCTCTGGACCTATGATGCCTAACATGTTTCTTGGCCCATAACTTGTTGAATGGGAGAAGGAAGAAGCCCAGGAAGGAAGAATGATGTGGTAGAACCAAGAATTGTCTCAAGGCCAAAGATATTCACTACCCAAGGACTTATAAAGTTAGAAACAGTAAGTGGCATCATCCATGCCAACCAAAAAGAAATGGAATCCGATTGGTAAAAGGTGCATGTGTGATCAGTTGCTAAGTCACATCCAACTCCTTGTGACCCCATGGACTGTAGCCCACCAGGCTTCTCTGTCCATAGACTTTTCTAGGCAAGAACACTGGAGTGGGCTGTCATTTCCTCCTCCTCCTCCTTCTTGGTGGCTCAGATGGTAAAGAATCTGCCTAAATGCTGGAGACCTGGGTTCATTTCCTGGTTCACAAAGCCTGGAGAAGTGACTTTCACTTGCTCACTCACCTCCAGGGTAAAAAGGTACAGTAGTTGAATTAAATTGGTTTTACCAAAAGCTCCATTGTTTCATTTAATTATCTCTTCAGAAGTTGCATAGACTATAGTACATTTTATTGACTATAGGAGCAATTAACACTTATAATTGAAAAGGTCGTCATAACAACCCTTTTCCAGTTGTTCATAACTTTCTAAAATTACAGCCCTTTGTTTAGCATTTTCTCCATTTGCTATCAATCCAAAGGCAACTTTTGAAAATTTGAGAAATAATTCTTCTGTTATTTTTAATCTAATAAAAATTAAATCATATTTCCCCTTTAAAACTCTAAATAGGAGTAAATTATAGAATCAAATATCTTCCCAAGGTGAAACAACAAGAATTTGAGTTTCAAGTTATGAAATATTAATGATTCGCTTTTTCAGAATCTTCAAAAATACATTTTCTGTTACAAATTTTACTTTGCCTTTTGACACAGGCCTAACAACATTTTATCTCTGAGTTATTCCAAACTCTAAACTCGTGCTAAGTTATGTTTTCTTTCAAGGAGGATATAATTTCATATTTAACCAACACAGCATTTTCAGACCTACCAATTAGGTCTGTTGAAGGAATTATCACCCTTCTAGTTACAATGTCTTACCTAGCAAAACTACAGAATGAAACAGCAAGGCCCACACAAAGGTTAGGGAAGCAATCCAGTAAAGAAAAGGAAACTGGATGCTGAATGTTGAGAGCATCATTATTATTTGCTGTGCTTTGCATTAATAATTAGTATTCCTGCCTGGAGAGGAGGTATTTCCAAACATGGACTTTGGCAGTGATTAAATTTGGAGTTTAATTTTGCCTCTTAATCTTTGTTGGCGGTGGCACTGAGCTTGCTCTTTTATGACTAGCTCTGAACAATAAAGTAACCATTTGAGAAGTCAAACAACAGGAGTGGTTTTTAGGGAACCAGCAGCCAAACTGATTCACCACGTTGGCCTCATTCCCAGGGATAAAGCAAGGCTAGGTAGTTGTGGTGGCGGTTGTCCTGGGTGAGAGCAGAATGGTAACACTCAGGATTCTCAACTGCATGGCTGGTCAAGCGAGTTAAAGAATGTCTAGGATGCGAGCAATAATGGAGGTGACCAGCCTAGAGCAAGCCCTGAATTAAGTTGGTACATTCAAAGTTGCCATAGAAACCCTGTCTGAATGTCCTCACTTCTGCAGAACTGATTTGATGGTTAAATGTTAATAAGCCTTCTTACATTGAATGATATATGAAATAGAAAACAGATGAATATGGACAAAAGAAAACATGCCCTGATGTCTGAAATACTTAAGAATGGAATACTTCTCTAACGCTGAGCTGTCCTTTTAAACCAAGGACCGAAGAAGAGGCAGCGTGGGGAGTCGTGGCTGGGAGCCGTGGAGGAAAGCGGTTCTGCCTTTGCGTCAAATGCTCAAATGCGGCACTCTGAAAGGCACTGCTGTGATTCAGCTACCCAGCTTGCACTTGAAGCCAAATGAAATGCAAACTTGCCTTTCAATAGCAAACCTCACTGAGGAAACGCCAGTTAGCGATGGTGAGAAGTTTCAGCTACTGTATTTTCACATATTCAGTTTTACCACTGAAAGTCCGTGAGAAAAACATTTGGAGGCTCTTTAACGCTGGTTACATTATCAATTAATCCATAGTGTGTTTTAAATAAATATTTCTATTAAATGTAACAAAAACCAACATTTGTATTGCTTGCACCTAAATTATCATCATCATTGCCAAGCAGATGCGGATCGCAAGACGAGGCAGACAATCGGCACTGTAATTTGCCCAGTAACATTGTTTTAGATCTAATTAGTGCTTATGTGGATCCTTTACAAAAATGTGAAAACTGCACCAGGATGTAATTGTTTAATGAATTTAGTGCAAAGCACATCTGCATAAATTCCATTTTCTCTGAAAAAACTAAGTTCAACCGCTATTTGCTCCGGAGCCAAAACATTGTGAATTGTGCCCACTGTGCTTAAGCCCTGCTCTGCTGGCTTGGGTATTTCAAATAAATACTATGAAGTTAAAGCCTCCAGCTGCAGACCAACCCATCTGTAGATGTTTGTTATATTTGGCAGTATTGTAAATGATTGTGCCTTCCTGCTGGGGGAAAAAAAGAAGGGGAAAAAAACAAGGTTCTGTTAGCAAAAAAAAAAAAAGAGTAAAAGTTTGAAATATGCATCACCCAACAAAACTACAGTTTTGCATCAGAGTCTAGTTTACCTAACAGTGAATTTTAAACACCTGCTCACATTGAGCCTACCATATAAGCTGAATAATATTTCTTTTCTCTCTTCTCCCCAACATTTAACTTCTGTTAAAGTCACAGAAAATTAAATCAGACACAAGTTTGATGAAAGTGGAATTTGGGCCTTTCCTTTAAGTTTTCAGAGTTTGCTAGTCCTTTTACGTGATCAGTGTTTAGATATAAAAATCCATAACATCTACAAAAAGAGATGAGTTAGTCATGGATGTTTACGTGACTGGCTGGACAGGTAACACTTTGCTGTATTCGGGTGTTTTTGGGTTTCATATGTTTGGCTTCTGGGGTTTTGTTTGCTTCTGTTATTTTTGTTGCTTTGGTGCAGTATAAGTGAACTGCCAAACCAAAGCTGTTTATTCTATTAATATTAAATGACTCCTATACATAGGGGGTGGGTATGGGACAGCAAGTCTGGGGAAAGGGCAGGCTAGAGGTATCTGGGCCTGAGTTGGAAGAATTTAGATCAGTGACAAACTACAAATGTCTTTCACCTGAATGTTCCAACTTAAGGTGGGACAGCCCTGACAATTTTACAATATTCTGATTAAACCAGCAATGTTTATGATGTTTTTGCTGGTTATCGCTTGTAGCCAGTCTCAGGCTGTCTTAGGTTAGGGTTCCTGGGAAACAGACACCCAGGAGGCAGAGATGTGCCTGCAAGGAGTTTGTGGGAGTGCATGGAAGATGGGGGGGCCCATACTTCAGGCAGTGGGGGAGGAGTGAGACTGGGCAGAGGCGCTGACTTTTGGTGCAGTCACAACAGAGGCCTCAGCCAACTACCTGGGGTGCTTTGAAGCTGGGGTGTCCCTTTAGTTGACTGAATTGAGGCAAGAGACCTCAGTTTTCATCCCCACCTCAGGCAGGCATCAGATGTGGGCTGCCCCTGGCAGGAGGCACAGGCCTGGGTGAGGCAACTCCCTTTGGTGGCATGAGGTTTGGGGAGTGGGAGGAAGGAGGTGGGGGCGTGGAGGGGTGGGAGGAGGGAGGTGAGGGGTTGGGGACGGGGTGGGGAAGAAGAGGGTGGTGGCTTCCAGGCACCGATTGCAGTCACCGCTCCTGGAGGCTGGGGAGATGTGTGCCTAGGTCCTGAGCAGGGACCTTGGTGGTGAATCAGCACGTGCACTCCTAACACTCTCGGGTCTGCGTTGTGTGATATCTTCACTCCCTCTGGGAACCAGGCCTCCAGCAGTCTTACTGGTTTCTTCCTCTTTCCAGAGGAAGGTGAGTGTGATGGACAGTAGCTGCAGTTGGTCTCCACCTGCCCCCACTACCCACCTGTGTTCCCCTCACTCTCAGCCACCACCTCTGCCAGTACAGACGCTACCTGGTGGCAACCACCTTCACCTGAGCCCCGTGTTTTACCCCCTGCTCGCCCCGCACCTCTCAGGCTATGCGTGCTGTGCGTGTCTACCGTAGGTATTTGCCAGGGGAGCATAGGTCACCTGGATGGTGAGCAAATTCTCCCCCGCTGCCCTGTGTGACAGCAACCCTCCCTCCCACTGATGAGAGGTTACTTTCAACCCTTTTCCTTGCCTGATAGTCTCCAGGCACGAAGATACTGGAAAAACCCGTGGCAGCTGTACCTTAATGTTTAGTGAGCCTCTTGCTGTGCCCCCTGGTGGAAGCACTCCCTTCCTTCGAACCAAAACCTCTAACCCTGAGGAATCCAGCACAGAAGGGATTTGAGGTATCCATTTCCCAACTGGGCCACTGGAAACTATTTCCTCCTTTCTCTTTATGGTTCCTAGACCTGTATGGGGACATGATACCATATAATGGTCTTCGACTTAAGGCTCTAGAGGATGGTGTCTGTATTTAAATGGAATTATCTTCAAGCCAGTGACTGCTCTTTTTACCAGCCAGTGACATCTCTCTCTCTAGGTGGGCATCATGATGATGATGACGTGCACGTGCTCCGTCGCTCCATCATGTCTGACTCTTTGCAACCCCATAGACTGTTGCCTGCCAGGCTCCTCTGTCCATGGGATTTCCCAGGCGAGAATACTGGAGTGGGTTGCCATTTCCTCCTCTAGGGGATCTTCCCAACTCAGGGATCAAACCCGCATCTCTTATGTCTCCTACATTGGCAGGTGGATTCTTACCCACTGAGCCACCTGGGAAGCCCATGTGGACACATGGTCAGACGCTCCTGCTGCCTCTCTTCTGCTGTAAAGTGGATTGTTTGGTCAAATGCAATAACCTATGCACACCCGTGTCAGTGGAACAAACACTCTGCAGAACTTCAGGTAGTGGCTTAGGCCCTGTAGGCAGAAAAACTAACCCATACTTGGATTATGTGTCAATTCTAATGAAGATAAATCACTTCCCCTTCTGGGTGGAAAAAGTACCCTGTAACTAAGCTCCCATTAAGTGGCTGTTTTGTCTCTTCGAGGGTTGGTGCTCCATCTGGGGCTCAGCATTTGCCTCTGTGGCTCACAGGTTGGACACTTGGCAGTGACTGAGCCAGCCTTGATGAGTGAGACGCCCGTGCTGCCGAGCCCATACATCGCCTCCATCCCTGAGGTGGTAGCTACTGTGTTTATGCGCCAGTTGTGCCAGCCATTGATGGAGGCAGCTAGCATCGAGCAGTGACTCATCTTCTTTTAGTCATTTAGGCCCCCCTCTGTAGTGCGCTGATTGGATGGGCATTAAAAGGGGATACAAAGAACTTCACCATTTGTCCTATTCCCACGCACACATCTTTCCCAGAGTCCTTGTCCCTGATGTTTCCTGTCTTGCTTCTGTCATGCACCCAGCCTAGCCTTTATCATTGTTATGAGTCTCTGCAGGGGCTAATTCTTTTTCTTCAAAAGTAGATAACCCAAAGCTCTTCTTATGAAGGAGAATTTCCCCTTCTCTCTGCCTTTCAAGGCCATTCCCAAGAGAAGTGATTATGCAGTCACTGTCTGTTTTTGGCTTGCATCCACAAGCTAACCTGACTCTTTCATAAACTAAGCCTAGCCTGCCTCTTCCTTTCTCAGTTCACTACTAAGGGCCCAGGGCCCAAGAAACTTTCATGGACATGTCAGTGATCATCCCAGATGTGAGCTGAGGGAGAGGAGCTGGTACGACAGTAGTGGGTGACATGAATGTCTGGGCCACCTGCCTATGATTCTTCCTCCTGACCACTTGCCTTGCTCATATCTCATCCTGGATGCTCCACTTCTATCTTGTGATGAACTGCTCTGAGGTCTGCTGGGTCTTATGACTTGGTGGGTCAGACAGAACCCAGATTCTCATGGGCCACATGGTCACTCGATGTCCCATGGTTAGGCACTCCATCTCAACCAGGGCCCATTACCATGCCAGGAGCTCTTTTTTCAAATGGCATATGATTCTCTGCTGCAGATGGCATGGCCGGGCTCCAGAACCCTAGGGTTCTACATTGTGAATCTCCTACTGGGCTTGTCATAAACTCCACATGGCATCTTTTCCCACCACAGATATCTCTAGTAGCAGAGGGTCTGCTAGTTATATGGTGCAAGCAGCATCACAACTAGACCTGACACAAAGCTCTTTCCTGACATGGGTCCCACTCTAAGCTTATGAGCCTTCCACATGAGTTGGTAATTGTGTCAGAATAGCATTTTCAATGGGGGAAAATACTGCCTTCAGAAACCAAAGAGGCTTACCAAATGATGGACTTCCTTTTGGTGGAGGTAGGTACATAACGCAATCACTTGTCTTTTACTAAAAAGTCACAATATGATGGGCTTTTGAACCTTCATACACCCCACCCTCTGGAGCACATGTTGGTTCCTGCAGCCTCTTCAGCACAGAGTCCCCTTTCTTACTCACCAGGCCGAACACTTCCCTGGTCAAGCTATGTTCTGATTTGATCACAGCTGTTGATCTGCTAGGGAGCTGATGTGGGGGTAGATCCTGAGGTAGGGAGGGGGTATAATTTGCCTGCAAGGTGAGGACCTCTGCACCATCATCATGGAAATGGGAGTCTTGTCTTTTAACAGGGAAGCAGGGGTCACTTCTGCAAGACCTGGGAGTCAGGACAATCCAGGTGCTTTCTGGGTGCTTGAATGATCAACCCAGATGTCCAAATCCTAAGTCTCAGATTCCCACTTCCTCCCAATCAGGGCCATGATTTGGGCCTAGCAAACTGGATAGGATTGAAAATCCCATCTTCTCTGAAGCTTCATTAACCTTATAATTAATTCCTGGATGAGATCCTCAGGCTTTTTTTTTTTTTTTTTGCTTCTGTTCTGACTGAGAGAGATAAGAACTCTACGTGTTGCCAAGAAGGTCCTCTAATTCCCACACTTTGTCTTAAATTGGGGATTATTCACTCATAGCCTTTTATTGTCTTTCTCCAGTACAC